GAGTCAGACTGGAGTCAGAGCGGAGTCAGAGTGGAGTCAGAGCAGAGTCAGAGTCAGAGTGGAGTCAGAGTCAGATTAGAGTCAGAGTGGAGTCAGAGTCAGAGCAGAGTCAGAGTGGAGTCAGAGCAGAGTCAGAGTGGAGTCAGAGCAGAGCCAGAGTGGAGTCAGAGCAGAGTCAGAGCGGAGTCAGAGCGGAGTCAGAGTGGAGTCAGACTGGAGTCAGAGTGGAGTCAGAGTGGAGTCAGAGCAGAGCCAGAGTCAGAGCGGAGTCAGAGCGGAGTCAGAGCAGAGTCAGAGCAGAGTCAGAGTGGAGTCAGAGCAGAGTCAGAGTGGAGTCAGACTGGAGTCAGAGTGGAGTCAGAGCAGAGTCAGAGTGGAGTCAGAGCAGAGCCAGAGTCAGAGCGGAGTCAGAGTCAGAGCGGAGTCAGAGCAGAGTCAGAGTGGAGTCAGATTGGAGTCAGACTGGAGTCAGAGGGCCTTACTGGCGGATGGCGTCGGGGATCTGCAGCTGGTCTGTGGGGATGAGCTCAGACAGCTGCTGCAGACTCTGAATGAAGCGGATCTTCCTGCTGAACTTATCGCTGTGGAGAACAGGGTCAAAGGTCACAGGTGAGACAGACCAACTACATCAAGCTAACACAACACATCAGGACCTGGGATAGTTTAACCTGTAAGATTTCTCACTGAGATTTATCTGTGTAATGACCAGATCCACCACAGGAGGCCGCTCTAAACGAGGGGGAAGACTTGGGGTCCTGTTCTAAAGCTCAGGTCTGAGCTTTAGAATGTGTTTCTGCTGCAACATCCAACATCTGCATAACATCAAACACTCTTTAAGACACTGAGATGGCGCCTTGTGCTGACCGATGTTTCCATCAGGCGGTGCAGTTCTGTGAGGTTCTGGTTTCACCAGCGTGCACCACAGACTCTTGGAAGAATTCTTCAAGATCGAAAGAATTACGAAGATTGGCGATGCGCTAATCGTCGGCAACAGACATGACAGCCGTTTAATCTAACGCCAGTAAATTATTGGGTCTTAAATGTTATGTAGACATCTGCCACCAGGTGGTGCATCGTCGTTGGGAAAACCTGCTCATCTCCATCTATTATTACTTTATTACATTAATATAACAGGAGGTTCAGTAAAAACGTCCTTCAAGGAGCTGCTCTTTACTTTCTTACTCTGAGTAAATGTCAGAGCCTGTACTTTTTCACTTAAGTTTAAATCCATACTTGAACTTTTACTGCAGTATTTTTTAACACTAGTATATGTACTTCATATTGATGTCGTCAAAGAACAGCATCGTGGTCCGTAAAGCCCAACAGCGACTCTACTTCCTCCTCAAACTGAGGAGAGCGAGAGCAGAGAAAGGATCGTGGGTGCTTCTCTGCCCTCACTCCAGGACATCTACTCTCTCCCTGCTCTGTCGACCCCGGCCCCCAAAATACAAAACTCTGAACCACCGCCCTTCACTGACTCCCACACTCCCACTTTCCCAAAAACACTCAGACTGTGTTGGACACTGTTGTGTGTATAAGACTTTTATCTTTTATGTTGTTTAGTGTAACACTGAGGACTGTGGGAGCCCTGCAGTTTCACTGTGTATGATCTGTACATGTGCTTTTGACAATAACTCTTCTCTACTTAAACACTGAATGTCTGGACTTTTGCCACCTCTGATCATGAATATGATAAATATTTTAAAATGCCTTTGTTGTTAGTTTTTGACATTTTCCATGAAATTGAACTAAACTTCTGAGCATTTCTTACTTTTAGACTAGTCTGTTAGTCTAATTTCTTTCCCTCATCCCAAGTAAAGACTCATTAGATGCTGCACCGTGAACGTGCACACCGTGATTTATCCAGTGAGCTGCACTTTGACTCCATACAGAGTCAAAGTGCAGCTCACTGACAGAGGCCCTGCTAGATTTCAGCTTCTTGGTACTTCACTGCCACCTTCTGGTGGTAGGAATGCACTGCAGCCAACCAGGGTCCAGAAAAACCAAATGTACATTGTGTGTGTGTGTGTGCACGCTGACCTGATAAAAGGTTTGACCAGCGTGATGAGAGCTTTGATGTACCAGGCGGGATGGACGACCAGCAGCCCCTTCAGGTCCTTCTTCAGCCTGCGGAGACATGAGGACAGTGAACCCCCATGTCCTTGTTCGCTAAACACACTTCAAAGGCCACCGTGACCATCAGCTGGTTGCGGTAACGCCGTTACGTATGACAGACGAGTTAAAGAGCTGCACGGTGCTGCTGTGGTTGTAAGCGTGCACAGCTGTGATGAGGAGGAGGAAGAAGATGACCTCCAAAGAGCTGGAAACATGGCTGAATCCCCGACATCATCTCCCAACAGCAAAGGCAACGGATGATTACGTCATGACCACACAGAGCAGCGCTCCAATCAGAGCGTCTCTTACACAGCAAGCGTGATCAATCAGATTAAAGACGTCATGACGGAGTCTGACCCGACATCAGCACCATCACCTGCTGTCGTTGAGCCATAGCCAGCTATTAGCTTTTATTAGCAGAAGGTGACATGGCGAGAGGCGGGGGGTGTTGAACCCCCACTGCTGCCATCTTGGATTGCAGAGTTGGTGGGTTGGTTGTTTCCAAACAGGAAGTCTGACTCGAGTGGATGCTCCAAATAGGATCTCGGCACTGCACGCCACGCAGCGTGTGAAAATCAGGTCGTGACCCTGACACTGCAAATGGATGAATAGAGGGGTCATTTTTGTTGTGGCTGTGATGGGGGCGGAGCTCTCCGTTGGCGCTCTTGCCTATGGTTAGCGTAACGTGCCTTGTTTTCACCTTAGCTCGTCTCACATTCAGAATATCCCGTCTTCCTCCTCTCACCCACACCGGTCGCGGCTGATGGCCAGCCCTGAGCCTGGTACTGCTGGAGGTTACTTCCTGTCGCCAAAGTGCCTTCTCATAGGGGGTCACATGATTGTTAGGCGCCCCGATGCGACTGTTCGTGCTACATAAATAAAGCAAAATTGCAGGTAGTTGAACTGAAAGATCATCTCGCCGCATGGTCCACAGGTCGGAGCAGACACAGCGAGCAGTTATGAGAAGCTCTACTCGTCTACGGGGTCACAGTTACTGAAGGAACAGGAAGTAAAGAAGCTCCACCCCTCAGGGCGGTGCTGAGAGGGGATGCTGTACCTCCTGTCAATGGACGTGTAGCACTGGTGAAGCCATTTGATGGAGGGCAGCTTATTTCTGGGAGCCATGGCGCACAGGTAGACTAGCAGGTAATTCTCTGAGACCATCAGGTCCAGCGTCCCCACAATGTACCTGCAGGGGAAGACAGGTGATAAAGGAGGCGTGGTTCACACCTGCTAGCATTTGACCACAATTTCTGGGCCCAAACTCACCTGAACAGGTTTTCCATGACATACTCGTAGTTTTCCACTGTGTTCTCCGGCAGGTAACAGGAAGTGAAGAGGATGATGGCGTTCATCCCGTCTCCAAAGTAGCCTGTCAACCAACCACAGGCAGAGCTGTCACGGTGCAATTTCAAATACAACACAGTGTTAGCTCCATGGCACCTGCAGGTGTGTTACAGGTGAGTGTGTGTGGCGCTCCTGCAGGTGTAATATCAGTGTATCATCTTATTTGTGTTACAGGTGTTTTTCAGGTGTGTGTGTGAGACCTGGAAGCTCCTGCAGGTGTATTACAGGTAGTTTGGTGGGTGTGTGACCTCTGACCTCCATGCGACAGGACCTGCAGGTACGGCTCCAGGACGCTCATGTTGACATGGTATTCGTGTCCTGAGATGCAGAACCGCCTCCAGCGCCGCCCTCTGCTGTCCACCTGATCCAGCTCCATCAGACCTTCGGACTGCTCCATCGGATTTCTGGCCACACCCACAGCTCCACCTCTGCCCATCCGAGGAAGGTCGTCTGTGAGACAGAGGTCAGAGGTCAGCTGCTTTTCTCTCGGTTACATTACTTCCCATCTGCGTGCACATCTCACCGTCCCACTCCAGGTCGTGCATGCTGTCCGGCAGCGTTCCTGTCTCACTGTCTGATGGCGTCTCCAGAGCTTCCAGGTTGATGTCAAGCGACGGTGTGTCGTCTGGTGTCCCTGACAGCGCGGCTGCAGAGAAGCTGTTCCGATCGTTCGAGTCACGGCGGTTCAGCGTGAGACTCAGAGACGGTGCCACCAGACGCTTCTTAGCTCCGCCTCCACCCGATAGAGTGAGGCTGGTGACCGGAGCTAAAGAACAGAGGTCAGAGTGAACACTGATTGATTTTTGGAAGATTGTTGTCATTGATTTTGATCACCTTTGATTGGTGACTTTGAGCTTTGTCAGAATCAGAATACTTTACTGAGCCATAGAGGAAATGATGTTGGTTACAGCGCTCCAGTACCAACAGCAACAAAGACAATACAGGAAATAAACAATAGCACAATATATACAATATTTACATATATATAAGTCACTTACTAACAGTGTTGAGTAAGTTACTTTAAATTAGTAACTTAGTTACATTACTAGTTACTTCTATCAAAAGTAACTCAGTTACTTCAAGTTACTCGTTACTTTCAAAGTAACTAGTTACTAGGGAAAGTAACTTTGGTTTTACTCAGAATTCTCTTGTTAATGTGTTGCTTCCATAACTTTGCCAGTCTTCTAGCTTGCTTACTTGCCACAGTGCACTGTGCCACCTACCAATAGAAAGGAAAAGATAATGTGCATATTTCCACGAGAGAAATCCCACGCCTGGACCGTCATTGACTGCTGCCATGATTCTAGCCTACGTCACAGCGTCATGTGCGCCTTTTACATCCAACACAAAAACTGCAGTCGTGGTGCTTTCGATTGTACTCAGAACTCGGAAATTCTGCCTTCTGAATAGGAAGATGTAGGTAACACCAGACTGCAGATGAGCTGCATACAGGGCTGGACTGGGACAAAAAAATTGTTTCTCCATCACCTGTTCAGCTCTGATGATCCAGTAAGGACATCTCCTGGTTTCATCTTCATGTTTCCCTCTCACCACATATCCAAACCGACATCCTGACCAGCAGCTTTACAGCTGTGGCTCCAGCAAACATCAGCTGATACTAGAAATTAATATTAAATAAATTCTAACAACAGCTGATCAAGCTTAAACGTGCTGCTGTTGTTTAGCGCGACATCCGCTGGTTTCCTCTTTCTGGCGCAAAGTGGGCGATAAACAAACAAGAGAGAAAAGCCGATCAGCTGATCATTGATCAGTTTCATGATTGAAGTAGAAACAGGAGAGGGAGGGGGGAGAATGAGAGAAGAAGAGGCAGCTGTGCAGCAAAGACACAGAATAACTCCAGCTTTGTGCCTTTTTCATTGTAGCTGAAGTCCGGGACAAACTGTTCCTTTTCACCTCAATACGAAACGCGTAATATTTTCTCTGAATACCAGACGATTCTGTTTTTTACGGGACGGTTGGCAACTCTAATAACTAACCGAACAAAATAAAGTTCAACATCAGTAACATCATAGCACCACCCAGCTGTATAGAAACTCCGTCATGCTAGCTAGCACGCAGTACGGAAAAAGTCAGCATAACGAAAATAAACTCCACCTAAACTTGGTTCATATCTGACCCAGATAGACTGCAGGTCATAACTTCTTACCTGAAGTTCAGTTCACCTGACACTCTCGGACCAGCGGCCGCTTCGGGTCTCTCCTCTTGCCTCCCTTTTCCTTCATCCACCTGCTGGCCTCCACCACTTGCTAATGTTATTGAATCTGTGGAAGCTCCGCGATAGCCACCACACGAAGTAACGAATAACGAGCCTATCTAAATCCCAGTAACGAGTAACGCGTTCCTGATTTTGGCATAATAACTAGTTACCGTGCTCGTTACCACAATAATAATAATACTGTAACGCGTTACTTAATAACGCGTTAGTCCCAACACTGCTTAATAATAAAGTGTCCAGTTACATCCCCACAACATTGCTGGCCTTGCAGATCAGTTCGTTGAGTCTGTTAGCATCAGCAACCCTCAATCTGCTCCCCTAGCATGCAACAGCGTAGAGGATAGCACCGGTCACAACAGACTCGTAGCTTCAACTTTAGCTTACAACAATTGGTTTTCACCTGATTCTCCTGCTGGACTTTCTGTGTCATCCTCTGGAAGTGGTCTGAAGCAGCAAGCCCAGCAACGCCAGCCAGGTAAAACCAGGTAAACATGTGAAACAAAGAGGTGAGAAGATATTCACCACACACATTAGCTTTAGTTTGCATTTATTCACAGCTATTAGCTTCTGTTAGCACATATAGCAGGGATAGCTCAGTAGGTAGAGTGGTTGCCCCATGATCGGCAGGTCGGGGGTTCGACTCCACTGAACGGCTACCCTGAGGTACCCCTGAGCAAGGTACCGTCCCTACACACTGCTCCCCGGGCGCTGCATTGGTGGCTGCCCACTGCTTCACTGGGTGAATGGATTAAATGCAGAGGAACTATTTCCCTATGGGGACTAACATGCACACTTTTACACTTTATTAGCATTAGCCTTTATTAAAGCTACATTCGCCTCTTACCATATGTTACTATTAGCCTCTGTTAGCACAAATTAACATCCTCCATAAGGATCTATTTATCTTTATTAGCCTCTGTTAGCATGACCTCTGACCTGGGGAAGCCATCATCCTGCCACTCCTCCCTCAGTTCCATGTCCTGGATGTTGGCGGGGCTTGAGGGTCCTGGAGCAGACCTGGAAGAGCAAAGAAAAACCGAAACTGGGACCCAATTCAGATTCTCTTCTCTGATTGGCTGATTGTTCTTCTGCAGGTATTTTGACGTTTTCTTTGTGGTTCTATTATTTAAAGTTAAATAAAGATCAATAAATAAGTTTGTTTGATCGGACATTCATGACTCACACACACACACCTTGGTCTGACCTCCTGTGACGTTCGTTTGGAGGTTTGTAAACTATTTATAGCTCCAGGGTTTCCGTCCAATCACAGATCTGACCTGCAGGCAGTTAAGCCTCCTGGTGATTAAAATCAGATCAAACCCGTTTGACTGCTCTATCTCACACACACCTGAACAGGTGAACAAGGGAGGGGCTTCATTGTTCCTCTGTTTGCTGTGAAGCTGACACACCTGATCTCCAGCTACAGTAACTGAACAGGTGTGTGCAGTGGGTGGTCCTCTGCAGGTGAGGAGTGTTTTCACTGCGGTACCTTCAGGGTCAGCTCGGAAAAATATCAGAACTCTGATGAGCCTCCACAAAAACAAAGAGGAGAGATGAAGGAGTCTGTAAAGCTTCCTTGGAGTCACTCCTGGTGAGGAACAGCTGTGGATGGATACATGAAAGTTCAGATGAAATCCTGGTAAAGATTAAAACTCTTCACAAAGGATCTCAGCCAATCAGAGGGCTCCTCAGGTGAGAACATGTGAGAAGAAGGAGGAGGAGTTTAAGACGATGAAGACTGATGTTTGCAGATCGTATAATCTGCTCAGTTCTTTGTCTCCAGCCTTAAAGATTCATAAAGTCTTGGCGGCTGCCCCCTGGTGGTGCGTGCAGATACTGCAGGGGGTGGAGCCAATCATTATTACATCATCACCTTTGATTCTGAGCTCGTCCCAGCAGATGGCACACTTGGCTCAGGCTGTTGATTTACAGCCAGATTTTCTAAAAAAAAGCCAAAATGGTGTGTGAGCGCAGTCCTCAGGTGTGTTATCAGACGCACCTCCGTGGGCAGTAAGGTTAGGCCAGGAACATAAGATGCTTTGTTTCTGCGCGGGTTATTAAACTGCGTGTTGTGAACGTTAAATATTCTCCCCTAATGTCCTCGGCTCTGCATGTGTTACAACGGCCTCACCTGCGCAGGTGAAGCTGCAGGTGCAGAGTGCGAGGCGTGAACCTCAGAGCGATGTTCAGTCCGTTTCTTCATCAGCTCAAACACAGTTCACATTACTGGCAGTTTGTTTGGTGACGTTCACTCAGCACCTGCTCCACAGATCAGCTGTTTGCAGGAGCATGATGGGAAATCGCAAAAACTCAATGTGTGACACAAACTAGCGCATGACACGCAGGCGTGACCGGACGCTTCACCTGCAGAGCTTCACGGACTGAGTTAGGAGCTCAGAGAGTGTTTTCAGGGACTCGGGAGGATCAGAGGCCTCCTCTGGTCTTTGACTCTGAGCTCAGATCCAGGAAAAGGCGTCAGCTTCCTGTCCGAGGACCAGAACCCGATCAGGACCCGACCAGGAGCCAATCAGAAACTGCAGACTAATCAGTGAAGTCATCAGCAAGGAAGAGATCGGCGATGAGGCTCAGGACCTGGACCGGGAGACCCCATAGCAAGCAGGAAGTCAACAGACATCACTTCCTGCTGATCAAAACAGCCCAGATCATCAGGCGGTGAACATATCACAGAGACCCCTTCACTCACCGTCAGCAGCAGAAGCAGTTTGAATTGAACTTCCTCTTTTTACTGAGCAGGAAATGCGCACGCACACACGCACAAATACACACACACACTCTCACACAGCGTTTGAGCTGTAAATATTTACCTGTCCTCACCGTGCCCGTCTGTATGCTCAGTGGGGGAGCTCATGATGTCACTCTGATGTCACGGCGTGCTCTGACCAGCGTGTGGGACCCACTGGATGTCTGAGTGTGGTGTCCTCCTTCCTCTCCTCTCCCTCGCACAGAGGGAGTTCCCACTCTGACTCTATGGGGCTCGCTCGCTCGCTCGCTCTCTCTCTCTCTCTGCCTGACAGGTTTGTCTGCATTTCACCACAGAGCCGCCACCTGATTGGCCACGCTCACCTGCTCCTTGCACACAGGTGAGGTGGCAGATCAGCTTCAGCCTGCTTCATTAAAAATCCACCAATCAGATGCTGAAGCTATTTAAAGCAGGAGGAAGTGCAGAGTGTCCGCAGGGTCCTAGTGCCTGTGAGAGCAGCTTAAATTCAGTTAAATGCTTTAAAAATACTTTTATTTTGGAAGTCAGGAGGCATGAATGACATATATTTAGGATCAACACAAGAAATCCAGAAATAAAGGAGAAAATTTTACAACCATAAATAGAAATAACATTTCCACTTCAAACACCCAAGTTAATAAATCGACTCACTACAATAAATACATCGAGTCCAACGGGGGAAGGTCAGAAGGAAGGCGAGTGTTTCAGATGGGAAACCACAAGTCTGAGCAGATGTTCCAGATGTTTACAGAGTTGTACCCCAAACTTTATCCTGATGACTCATGATGAAACATTGTAAATAAAAAAACCAAAAACCTTTCTTCTGCAAACTTCCTGTTGCTGCAAGCTTCTTCCCTCTGTTTCACAATAAAAGTATTTCCCTTCTCAGTGCAATTATTGTGAAACAGGGATTTATTCACAGCTGGTTTCCTGACAGTCGGCTGCAGTTCTTTTTCTCTTTAATAAAACACCCAAAACCAACAGCCTACGGAGGCCCAACAGTGCCAAATCTGTCAGAAATTCACATCTTCAGAAAAAAAAAACCCAAAAAAACAAACAGATTCAAACAAGCATGAAGGTCCGCTATGACTGCACACCTCAGCTGGATGCAACATGTGATCACAAGCTCAGGTACGAGCCAGTGTTGTGTCTGCACACGCTGTTAGCAGCAAAGTCTGTATATTTTTTTATATATTTTATTTTATTGTTTACTCCATTTAATTTGTAAAATATGTACACACGTAGAAAAACATATTTAGTATACGCATCCAGTAATGCATATACTATTATATATTGTACATATATTTATTAGTCTCAGATTTAGCCATTCTTATATTTTGCTTGTTTTACGTTATTGTATTTTTGCACACCTCTGTTGCTTGTGAAGCTCGCACGCAAGAATTTCACTCACATGTGCTGTACCCATGTACCTGCACATGTGATGTGACAATAAAAGTGATTTGATTTGAGTCTGTGAGAAATGCCACAGATAACAGTCTGACATAAAACTTTAAGTTTGCACCAAAGAGGCGATTCCCAAAGAGCTGAAACGGCACAAGTGTGAGGCCTGAAAACTCTGCAGCAGACCAGAGAGAGAATCAGCCGATCGTCTGCTGCTCAGCCTCACAGGAGGAAACGCTGATGAAGGTCAGAGGAACGGGACTGATAGAGCGATGGAGCCACATCATGGTCAGCGTGTGCGAGGAGCTCCGACACTGAGAGTCAGCAGCCCCCTGTGAGACGGAGGCTCCGTCACGGCTGCAGCTCAGTCTGTGATGTTACAGATCTTTGATAAACGTTTGAATTCTGAACCATCACATGTGTTTTGTATGTTTTAATAAACACACTCATAGAGATTATAAAGAAATGAGGGTGGCTCATGACTTTTGCACAGTGTGCTTTCATCCACGCAGGACTGCAGAGAACTTTATTGTGTCAGACCGATCCAACAGCACCACCTGCTGGCTGGAGGCCTCAGTCACAGCTGCGCCCCTGCAGTTTTTTCTGAGCACGAGGCGTGCAGCGGGGGCGGACCTTCATGCCTGCTGTCGGCGGGTTTCCAGACTCGGATTCAGCAACTCTTTTGATCATTTTGGATTTTATTAGAGAAACAGGAACACGGATTCATGCTCGTGTTCAACAACACCTGCTAAAAAAAACCAAAAAAAAAAAAAACCCCATAAAACGTTGGTGCTTCATCGCTGTCTTCCTCCGACAGGTCAGAGGTCAGTCCTGTTGACCATCTGGCTGAACTTCTCCTCCAGGGCTTGGGAGGTGATGCGAGGCAGACCGTTGTCCAGAGGGGAGCCCTCCACCAGGCTGTTCATCGGTGTGGGCGGGACCTGAGACAGCTCGTCCTTCCTGTCTCCCGGGAAACCATACCCATCCCACGTTGTCAGGAAGTCTTTCATGATGGGGAGGAGCTTCTTCCGAGACGCCAGTGAGTTTCCTGGAGACAGGGTGATGAAGTCACCATCAGTCCTGAGGCCACGCCTCTGCTCGCACCCCCCCCAGAGACACACCCTACAGAGCATAGCTAACGAGGTAGCAGAACATCAAGCATCACCTGTGCACACCTTCAAGATGTGTCTGATTACAGGAGTGTTACCTTGATGATAGGCTGAGATGTGAGAGTGGGGGCTGCTGAGTGGACTCAGGTTGAGGGCGGGGCTTTGGGCTTGTTCCAGGTACTGGCTCACCTGAGGAGGGAGGACACCTGAGCCGTCACGCAGAAGGAACAGCAGACTAAAGAAGGGGGAGGAGAGTGTACCTGTTCCCTGCAGGTGGTGCTGTGGCTGAACACAGCAAGTTCTCTGATTGGCTCTTTGCTCTCAGTGAAGAAGATTGTCATCAGCAGCAGCAAATCATATCCGTACTTCTGACAGAAACCTGAAAGCTCCGCCTCCAAGTCCTCCCTCTGCAGGAACTCCTGACACACACACACACACACACACACACACACACACACACACACACACACACGTCTCCTCAGGTGTTCTGCAGCTCTGATGCCACCTGGTGGCAGACTGGTGTCACTGCAGCTTATTAGTATGACTGTAGTACAGTGTACAGTACTGACCTGCAGTGAGATGTAGAGAACAGAAACTGAGAGATTCAAACTTCCTGAAACAGCTTTCATGTCCTTCAACAACATCTCCTCTGTGTTCAGACCTGCAAACAAAGTACTGCGTCAAATACTCCAATAAAAAAATATTACACCAAGTACAGTAAAACTGCAATACTAAAACAATGCTCCATTGAATTCTTTAATAAAAACTATAAAGGAAAAAGTACAAATCTGCAGTGTATCCACACCTGAAGAGTAACACAAACAGGTCAGTCCAGACTTTGTTCCACCTGTGCAGGCGTGTTCTCAGTTATGACTGACTTCTCAGAAACTGACCTGAGACATCCAACTTGGCTCTGTGCAACTCCTGGAAGAGAGCGCCCCTTGGTGGCAGAGCAGGGAATAGGTTCTCCAGCGCTGCAGCATACTGACTGTCTTTGGGAGTGACTTTACCTGCAGCAGGTGACATGTCCACGCAGTCCACCACGATGGCAGCTGCAGACCAACACAGACAACCCACCAATCAGTCAACGGCACACTTCAGACACACAAGATTTACTCAATTCAGGTTTATTTATACAGGCAGACCCGACAATAATACATAAAGAGAAAACTCAACAAGCAAGCACTTTGGTGACAGTTCGAAGGAAAAACTCCCTTTTAACAGGAAGAAACCTCCAGCAGAAGGAAGCTCTGCCTCCCATTCTACTCTAAATACTCTAGGAACAACAAGTAGGCCTGCAGAGCGAGAGCGAAGTGCTCTAATAGGGTGATATGGTACTACAAGGTCATTAAGATAAGATGGGGCCTGATTATTTAAGACCTTGTATGTGAGGAGCAGGATTTTGAATTCTGGATTTAACAGGAAGCCAAAACAGGAGAAATCTGCTCTCTCTTTCTAGTCCCTGTCAGGACTCTTGCTGCAGCATTTTGGATCAGCTGAAGGCTTTTCAGGGAGTTTTTAGGACTTCCTGATAATAATGAATTACAGTCGTCCAGCCTGGAAGTAATAAATGCATGAACTAGTTTTTCAGCGTCACTCTGAGACAGGATATTTCTAACTTTAGAGATGTTGCACAAATGGAAGAAAGCAGTCTTACATATTTGTTTAATATGTGCGTTGAAGGACATGTCCTGGTCAAAAATGACTCCAAGGTTCCTCACAGTGTTACTGGAGGCCAAGGTAATGCCATCCAGAGTAAGAATCTGGTTAGATACCATATTTCTAAGCTTTTCAGGGCCGAGTACAATAACCTCAGTTTGATCTGAATTAAGAAGCAGAAAGTTAGCGGCCATCCAGGTCTTTATGTCTTTAAGACATTCCTGCAGTTTAACTAATTGGTGTGTGTTATCTGGCTTCATGGACAGATAGAGCTGGGTGTCATCTGCATAGCAGTGAAAATGTATGCTATGTCTTCTAATGATGCTGCCTAAGGGAAGCATGTATAATGTAAACAGAATTGGTCCTAGCACTGAACCCTGTGGAACTCCATAATTAACCTCAGTGTGTGAAGAGGACTCTCCATTTACATGCACAAACTGGAGTCTATTAGATAGATATGATACAAACCACTGCAGCGCAGTACCTGTAATACCTACAGCATGTTCTAATCGCTCTAATAGGATATTATGGTCGACAGTATCGAACGCTGCACTGAGGTCTAGCAGGACAAGCACAGAGATGAGTCCACTGTCAGAGGCCATAAGAAGATCATTTGTAACCTTCACTAAAGCTGTTTCTGTGCTGTGATGAGCTCTGAAACCTGACTGAAACTCTTCAAATAAGCCATTCATGTATTCGATAACCTTCGAACGCTCAGTAACACCAGGTGTGTACCGTAAAGCAGGTGAGCAAGCTGCAGGTCCAGGATCTCTGGAGCTCTTTGAATGATGCGCTCTGTCACCAAGGTAGCGCAGGATCCCACTGTTTCCGCAGTAACAGGACAGGTGGGGGAGGGTTCCCTCTCTAGATGGTGGTGGTCGATCACCTCTGCAACCGCCTCCTCTAGGTC